TGTGTGTGTGTGTGTGTGTGTGTGTGCAAGGGCTTGAGTGTATAAGTGCGTGTTTGAGCCCATGCGGAGGAAATTTTATTGTTTATTGTTTACTGTGTTGCTTTCATAGCTCAGGTGATGTAATGGAGTTATTAGTCATGTTTCGTTGAACTACATTACAGGTCAAAAAAACGGCTGCTGAAAATTCTACTTTGCATCACAGGAATAAATTACATTTTACAATATATTCACATAAAAACAGTTATTTTAAATTGTAATAATATTTCACAATATTACTACTTCTACTGTATTTTTGATCAAATAAATGCAGCCTTGATGAGCAGAAGACAAAAACATTAAAAAATCAGAATTATTCCAAACTTTTGAATGATAGACTATGAACTCTGTTTCTCCTAAAAATAAAAATAGACACATTGGAGTCAATAGTTGTTGTGTATTAACAGTATGAAGCTATAAAATGAATATGGAGCAGCTCAGATCATTTGGACACTTTGCACAGACACTCGACACTTTAACACTCACTTTATCGTCAAATGCACTGCTTCATGATAATGTGAAGATGATTGCATACGGGTTCTCTTATTATTATTCTAAAGTGCATATACTTTTGTTTTGTCATTGTTTATTTGTGCTGTTCTTCCTTGTTTTGTCCTTTATTGCATATTGTTTTATTGTCTTATACTTATGATTGCAAACTGTCTATTTTGGTAAATCTGAGACACCGTTGAGAGTTGAGAGGTGTGTTTCTGTGGTGCTTGTGTGTTTCAGAGCTTCAGTGTCATGATTGGGGCGTGTGGAGCGAGGGTTCGGTGCGGGTGTATGACGGGGAGGTGGCGTATCTCTACTGTCCGCTCTTCTCTTATCCCACGCTCTACAGCTACAGTCAGACTCAGAACAGCAGTCTGTCTCTGCTGTGGTACCGACACACACACACACACGAGCTGGAGCAGCCCATCAACCTCAAACTACACACACTGCACAAAGACCGCGAGTACCTGTGGATTCAGCCGGCCTCGGCGCAGGACGCCGGACTCTACATCTGCATGCTCCGGTAAACACTCACACACAGATGTGCACAGCCACATGCAGTCAAAACTGACTAGTTGGTTGGTTGTCTGATTTACGGTGAACACAAATACATTATGAAAGTAAAATGGGTTAGTGAATGCTGTTTCATGCTGGTAGAACATCATGATTGATTACTAATTCCTGCAACCCATGATATATTCATAAATTCATTTTTAATGGCATTTTATACTTGTAGCCTTCAAAAGCAGCAGAATTGTTTGTCATATCATAATTCAAATCCCATATATGTCAAAATGATAAATGGTACAAAAATGTAATTGTTACATGTATGTATATGTAATATAAAATAATATAATAAAAATGTAATATAAAATTAAATAAATGTGTAACCAAATCATGCAGGTTATTTCATCATGTTTATTTATTTTATATTTTAAATTATTTTATTTGGGTGTAATTATATTATTTTTACTTGGGTGTAAATGTAAACATGTAATCAAATCATGCACGTAATTTCATGATATTAGTAATTTAATTTAATTTAATCTAAACAGAAATGTATAACCAAATCATGCAGGTTATGTCATCATGTTAGTGTTATAACCTAATCTAATCTAATCTAATCTAAATTTAATTAAATTAAATTTAATTTAATTTCATTTCATTTCATTTAATCAGAAACATGTAACCAAATCATGCAAGTAATTCCATCATGTTAGGAATAGGTTAGGATATAAATAAAATATAAAATAAAATAAAAGTACATATTATTTGGATGTTAAAATGTAATCAAATCATGCAAGTAATTCCATCATGTTAGGTTTAAGTTAGGATATAAATGTATCAAATCTAATATAATAATAATATATATAAAGATAAATAAATATTATTTGATCTAAATAGAAATATGTAACAAAACCATGCAGGTTTTATCATCATTGTAATATATAATATAATAATAAATTATTTGGATCTACATATAAACATGGAACCAAGTCATGCTGGTTATTTCATCATGTTAGGGTTAGGTCAGGATATAAATACATATTATATAGATCTAAATATAAACATGTAACCAGTCGTGCAGGTTATTTCATGATGTTTTGTGTGTGTGGCAGCAACATTTCCTCGTGTGTGAAGATCGGCGTGGAGCTGGAGGTGATTCAGAAGGACGGAGAGTGTGACAGGAGAGCTCAACCTCACCTGAACCTGACTATACCGTTCCAGAGCGAACGAACCCTCACCTGTCCAGACCTGAACACACTCACGCTGCCCAACAGCACACACTCCGTCAGGGGTCCACGTGTGTCTCTCTGTGTGTGTGTGTGTGTGTGTGTGTGTGTGTGAATAAACATCTGAGACTATCATAATTAAATATGATGCTGGAAACTCATCCGACTGTTATGAAGCAAATGAATTTCTTAATCTCCAGAGTCGCACGGCTAATGAACTGAGGAGACGTGAACTCAAACAATCAGCATCATTCAGTTTAAAGGTTGTATGCGAGCAAAACTATCAAAATGCAAATCAGTACGGGCAATTTGTCTGTTTAAAGAGTCGTAACAATGCAAGAAATGACCTGAAGCGATAGCGCGTATGAAGAAAGATGTATTATCTATATGCTAGTGCACTACTAAAAGACTAAATAACCTAAACACGTCTAAAATGCACAACTGTATATAGTTAAGATGAACCACTGCTATTGGAATGAATGGGAGAAAGTGGACGCCCATATATGGCACTCTAGTAAAATAAGTCCCGCCTTCCAAATAAAAGAGCCAATCAGCAGTCTGCAAACTCACTATCTGGCGTTTGACGCTCAGATGATGCATTTCATGTCCTACTAGTTACTCGAGTTTTCATGAGCACTTGTGAGGGTGAAATCCCTCGCCTCGCTGCAGCTCTGCAGATGTGTGCATTCAGCTTCAAATACACTGTGCCCTGATCAGACTACAGATCTATATTTCCTGCACAGCTTGTTAAAGGTCATTTCAGTCAAATGACAGTGTTTTAACTGCATTTTCATGGTGCAATAAGCATAAAATGCAGAAAGCTGTTGCTTGTGGGAAAAACAGTTGCATGACATTTAGAAAAGTTAATCCAGTGTTTTTGTGGCAATTTATTAGGAGTTTTGTGTGTAAACGTAGATAAGGCATAAAGTGAGTTATAATTATTATTATTATTATTCTTATATAAAGGCCTATAAACATTATTACTGTATAAACGTCTTTATCAGGGATTCCCAAAATTTTAGTATCAATAACATACTATATATATTTTTTATTTTTATATTTTCCTTTTTAATTTAAAATTATTGTTTTTTTTTTTAAATAAATTGTTATTTCTATTTTAGTAATTTTAGTAATCTAAATGAAAATTTGAAATGTTGCCTTTATAGCCGAAAAAAAAGTTAATTTTTAAAAATATTTTATTTCAGTTAATATGTATTTTCAGTTAACTTAAATGTTTTAAATTTTTTAGCTTTAGTTAACGATAACAGCGCTGTCAGCCGAACCCCTTTGAGCTCAAATATTTACTTGAAGTCCCCTTAATATTTTAAGTAAATATTTTGATAATTTAACAACGCATTTGCATGTTTGTGGTTTTCTGATGTCAGTTAATCGTCGCATAACATGCAGGTAAACAAATAACATTTTCATTACATAATTCTATAATATTATATAGATATTATATATTTCTTATATTAATTAAGTATGTTATTTTGATTATTATTTTAATTTTAATTTAACATTTTTATGATTTAATTATTTATTATTTTATTATTATGTTATTAGCAGTTAGGGAAACCCTGATCTAATGGAATTGTACATCATCCAGGGTCTATAGTTAATTAAAACTAAAAGATAAGAACACTTAAAAAAAACAAACATTTTGGTTACTTGAAATAAAATAAACAGACAGAAAAAAAATAAATAAATACTAAAATTACTAAAACTGAAATAAAAATGAATAAAACCTAAATAGACATAAAAATGAAAAAAAAAACAGATATATGACAAAAACTCAAATTTAAAATGAAATCAGAAAATAAAAACTAATTTAAAATATTAATAAAACTATAATAGTTAACACTGAAATAACACTGACATCATCTCCTTGCAATTCTGTTTATTTCTCCCAATTTTCACTTTTGTTTTTTGCAATTCTGAGTTTATATATCGCAATTGTGAGTTTATATTTCACAATTCTGACTTTTCTCAGCCTTTCTTGTTTCCTCTCATCTCAATTCTATGGAAGCTCATTTCCGCCGGTATAAAAATATAAAAAAGGTAATTGCAACGTTTCATCTCAAAATTCGGACTTTTTTTCTCTTGCAATTGCAAATGATACACTCATAATTCTCTTTTTACATCTTGCAATTCTGACTTTTCCCCTCTGAATTCTGAGTTTACATCTCACAATTCTGTTTTTTTTTTTGTTTCTGCCACTGAATGAAAAATCAAAAGGTAATTGTGAAAAAAAAAAATCAAAAAATAAATGTATATTTAAAAAAAAATTCTAAATTGAGAAAAACTAAAAATTAAAATGGAAACAGAAAATATAACAATTAAAAACGAATTTTAAATATTAATACAATTATAATAGTTAATAATTAACATTTCATTACATCAAATACACAAAATAATGTTCTTTTTAGCAGCATCATATGACCCCTTTAACTTTTTTTCCCCTTACAATTCTTGCAATTCTGAGTTTATATCTCGTAATATACTTTTCTCGCAACTGCGAGTTTATATATATCACAATTCGGTTTATATCTCATATTTGTGACTTTACATCTACCAATTCTGTTTTTTTTTCATGCAATTCTAAAGTTTATTTCGCACATCTTAGGAGAATTATTTTCAGAATTGTGAGATTAAAAAGTTGCGATTACCTGTTTTATAGTTTTAATCTGTGGCAGAGAAAGCTTCCATATATTTTGTCTCGTCTCAACACATTCGTCTTTCTCTACTGTAGTTCCTGATGTGGGCAGTAAAGTTCCCATCGTTCTGAATCCCGCGAGCGATCAGATCTACACAGTGACTCTGGGTGAGCGTCGTCGTCTTCTTTCCCTGTTTTTGCCATGTTTTCTGCAGTATGCATCACTGAACGAACGTCTCCGCATTGCAGGAGACACGGCGACGCTGTCCTGTCATGTGCTTCTGCCTCACCTGTACGAGGAAAAGCAGTACATCTGGTGGACCGTCGATAACAAAACCGTGGAGCAGCTCGCCGACCCGCGATTCAGCTCACCTGAGGCCAAGTAGGGATGTGTTTGTGTGTTTCTCACTTCTTCAGTCTGTCTCGATCTCTGTTTTATTGACTCGTGTGTGTGTGTGTGTGTGCGTGTAGGCTTGTGTCAAATGATTACGGTGACGAGAGGAAAGAACGAGTCCTGTATGTGAGGGATTTTTCAGCTGACGACCTGCAGAGGGAGTTTACCTGCTCCGCCAGAAACAGCCGCGGGATTAACACCAGCAGAGCCGTACTCAAAACCGAACGTAACTACACACGCTAACACCTCTAACACACACATGCATATCTGTTCAAATGTAATTGATTGCTGTGAATTTTCAGCATCATTACTCCAGTCTTCAGTGTCACATGATCTTCAGAAATCATTCTAATATGCTGATTTGCTGCTCAAGAAACATTTCTGATTATTATCAGTGTTGAAAACAGTTGTGCTGCACAATATTTTTGTGGAAATAGTGATGCATTTTATTTTTTAGGATTCACAGATGAATAGAAAGTTCAAAAGAACAGCATTTATTTGAAATAGAAATATTTTGTAACATTATAAATGCCTTTACTGTCACTTTTGATTAAACTAATGCATCCTAAAAGTATTAATTAAAAAAAAAATGAAAGAAAAAAAATCCTACTAACCCCAAACTTTTTAGCAGTAGTATATATAGGCAGCTATATAATTAAAAATACATTTTGTGTGGGAAAAATAGCAAATAAAATTAAAAACAGCATTGTTACCATTGTACTAAATCCTAAATAAAAACTAATTCAATCTTTGATGAATAGAAAGTTCAAAAGAACAGATTTTTTAAAAATAGAAATCTTTTTTAACACTATAAATCTCTTTACTGTCACTTTTAATCAATTTAATGCATCCGTACTTTTATTCAGCTAAATTTCTCTCAAAACCAAAACTGTAGTAACTTACTTTCACCAAAACTTCAAACTAAAATAACTTTTATAATTGCTATATTTTTATATTGTTCTAAGAAATATATTTTATATAATTCTTTATTTATTTAAGATTCATTGTTATTTTAATCGTTTTAGTTTCTTCTACTCTAAATTTGGCATAAATATGCTGCTGATAAGGCAGTAAAAGACTAATTGGCGTTTTACATGCCAAAACCATTTTTAAATCGCATTTGGCACTTGTTTGTTTTGAACCCTGTATGCCCGTATGTTTATTTTGGCAGCAAATGTTGATCAGAATTCAGACTAAAATTTTATTAACTTAATTTTAATTAGTTTTTTGTTGAGCATATGTCATTTATGCATTTGGCAAATGCTTTTATAATTGACCTAAAGCACTGCATGTGTCTCTTGAACCCATAACATGCTCTACCAGTTGAGATATAGAAACATTAGGAGCTAAATTTGACCAGTGAGATGAGTATTTTTGTGTCTATGTGTGTATATAATCTTGTCTGTCTTGTGTGTGTGTGTGTGTGTGTCTGTGTCTGTGTCTGTGTGTGTGTGTGTGTGTCTGTGTCTGCGCGTGTCTGTGTCTGTGTGTGTTTGTCTGTGTGTGTGTGTAGCGTACGTCCCGACTCTAGAGCTGGGCTGTGGTTTAGGTGTGACGCTGGCGCTCATGTTGATGATGTTCGTCATCTATCACGTGTTCTGGCTCGAGCTGCTGCTGCTCTATCGCTCGTGGTTCGGCTCAGATGAGAGATACACGGGTGAGAACACAAACACACATTCACTGACACGATGCTGTGTTTCATGGGTAGTTGATAGCTGGTCTGTGTTATCAGGTTTAAGCTCAAACGTTTAAGCTCGAGGTTAACCACCATGAGGACGAATCAACAAAATTGACTGGCCTTAAATATATATCGCATTGCTACTTGTGTGTATATGAGCAATATATATGAGCAATATCACACGGGTAGCAGTGCGATATGGCTGTATAACAGCACGGCTGTGATTCGGCCGTAGCTTGACTAGTAACTAGCAATATGTACTCTCACTAGCTGGGTTTCCATCCAAAGTTGCGCAAAATTGGAATATTGCATAAAACATTTGCAAATAAGCACCACTTCCATCCAATGAGTCAAAGAGAACAAAATCATCACTTCCTGATAAACTGGCACTAAGTATCTCTAAGAAAAGTATAAGCCACAAGATCGGTCCGCTGGTCAGTCAGGTTATGACTTTTTTGATGCGCATGGAGGAATTCATTCGGCAAATGTGTTTCCGTCTCCCATTATTCGCATTAACCCTTTTTCGCACAAGTCAAAAACCACCTCAAGCGAGCGTAAAAACTTTTTTGCGAATTAAGCGATTTTTTTATTTATTTGTCTTTTCCATCACTCGTTTCTGATGCGATATGTCAAAATGCGTATAAAAACAGAGTGATGGAAACATAGCTACTGTTGAAGATCAAACTGAAGTTTAACACTAGTAGTGACTGAACTCTATTTCTGCAGATGATAAGCAGTATGATGTGTACATCTCATACCCTCGCTACAGTGAGGAGGAGGAGTTCGTTCTGTCCACGCTGCGTCGAGTCCTGGAGACTGAGTTCGGTTACTCCGTCTGCATCTTCGACCGGGACAGTCTTCCTGGAGGAAGTGAGTATCACGTGTGACTCCAGACATCCTGTACAGCAGGGGCAAAGCGGCTTCATTCACTGTTACACTCCATCCAGTTTAATGTGCATTTAAGAATGTGTACGCTTACTTCATTTACATTCACATTCGCATTCCTGACCACTTTTTGTGGACAGACGTTTACACCATTTCATCATTAAAATAAAAGCTTGAGGATTTGAAATGTTTAAAATTCGAGGGTTTGACATTTGAAAGTGAAGAATTTAAGATTTATAAATATAAAAATAAATAAAAAAATATACATATATAAAAAACGTCAACTAAAATTACAGTAAAAACAAACACAAAAAAAAAATCAAAAATATTAACAAAAATTATAATAGTGTATGACACTAAAATAACTCAGAAAATTTAAATAAAATTTTTAAAATATATTTAAAAATAACATTTAATATTTTATCTATTTATTTGCATGTCATGTGACCATCAACTGTGAATTTGCATATATATTGTTAAATTATTGGATTATTAACTTAAAAAGAGTTTGGGAATCCCTGCTTTATGCAAGTACGTGAACACAGACACAAATGTACAGTTTGTAATACAGTGCAAGTACGTGTCAGCGTTGTTATTGTTAACTATTTTTAAAAAGTGGTCATTTAAACGATGCTGAAATACAATAAGATACAAATGTTACATGAAAAACTAAATGAAACTTAGAAATAAAACTATAACCAAATTAAACCTAAATGGTAGTATTTTAAGAAATGAACATAAATAAAATAAAAACTAAAACCGAAATGAAAACTAAATGATAATATAAAAAAAGATACAATTACAGAAATAAAAACTAAAACTGAAATAAAAATAAATGTAAATGCAAAATATTCATAATAATTTTTTTTAAATTTAAAAAACACTAGCTTTCTAATCTTTTTGTATTCTATCTGTTTTCTTTTTATTTATTATATTATTTAAAAAAACTTTGCTATGTGTACTACATTAAGCTAACTGAGACTTGTTATAGCACTTGTATATCATTGCTCTCTTGTTGATTTTGATTGCTTCCATTGTCCTCATTTGTAAGTCTCTTTGGATAAAAGCGTCTGCTAAATGTCTAAATGTAATGTAAAATAAAAAAACTACAAACTGACAAAAGCACATAAAGATTAAAATAAAACCTGAAAATATATATAAATGATACTAAAATAACACTAGTATGTTTTGGCTGTATAGTGAACGTTAGCATGAAGTGTTGATCAAATCCTGTCATGCAGAACGAGTGAGTGTGATGAATGATGTATTGTGTGGTGTGTTACTGAGCGTGTGTCTGTGTGTAGCTATAACAGACGATACGCTGAGGTTTGTGGGTCAGAGCCGCAGGCTGGTGGTGGTTGTGAGTCCGTGCAGCGCTGTCCGCGGGACACAGGCTCTGCTCGAGCTGCAGGCCGGACTGACCAGCATGCTCCACGGCGGCAGCCTCAGGGTGGTTCTGATCCAGTTCAAACCGGTCCAGAGGAAGAGCTGGGTCAAAGAGCTGCGCCGGGCCCGGCTGGCGCTGACCCTCGTACGCTGGCAGGGCGAGAAATCGGCCCCTCTGTCCTCACGCTTCTGGAAACAGCTGCAGCTGGAGCTGCCCATGAGGAGGAACACACAACACACACAACACACGCAAACGCTGCTACCGGATATCACACAACACACACCCGACACACACACACAAAACACACATCATGCAGAAGAGAAACTCATGGATCCTTACTCTACCAGTGCCTTATAGACATCAGCTGTGTCCATAGTCAAGCTTTATTTGTATAGCGCTTTTCACAATCTGCATCATTTCAAAGCAGCTTTACAGACAGTGAATGTCATATAGTATTTTCAGTGTAAATTTTGTATTATATTTATACTATTATGGTATTTAGTAATATTTTGAGTTAGCTTTTATTTTTATATTTTCAGTTTCCATTTTAGTTTTGGTTGTTGTGTGGTTTTGTCTTTTTTATATGTATATATATGGGTCAAATACAAAAATGGGTTTCAAAACAAATCAAAACAAAAGTTTAATACACCTTTACATTAAAACTTAGTCCCCCCTCCCATACATTATATTGCGTCCTGTTTAATGCAAAATTTTTTTTTTGAGCAAAAAATAATGATTATCATACATTTTTACCATGATTTACAACAGATGGCCACTAAAATTCACGGTAGCAATAGTTCATGTAACAAAAAAATCTAGTCAGGCATATTTAGATCAAGAATCATTAACAACATTAAAAGACTCTGTTTAAGGATCACAGTTCAGCCCACATAAAGCACTAGGTTTGACCCATTTGTCAGCAAGAAGTTTTTAATCAATTAAAATATAAAAAAAAAAATGTGTAAATTTATTTTGATGCGCACACCAAAATGGGACGCCTTGTCTTTGACCCATATATATGTGACCCTGGAGCGCAAAACCAGTCATAAGTGTCAATTTTTTTTTAAATTGAGATGTATACAGCATCTGAAAGCTGAATAAACAAGCTTTCCATTGTTGTATGGTTTGTTAGGATAGGACAATATTTGGCCGAGACACAACTATTTGAAAATCTGGAATCTGAGGGTGCAAAAAAATCTAAATACTGAGAAAATCGCCTTTAAAGTTGTCCAAATGAAGTTCTTAGCAATGTATATTACTAATCAAAAATTAAGTTTTTATATATTTACGGTAGGAAATTTACAAAATATCTTTATGGAACATGATCTTTACTTAATATCCGAATGATTTTTGGCATGAAAGAAAAATCAATAATTTTGACCCATACAATGTATTTTTGGCTATTGCTACAAATATACCCCAGCGACTTAAGACTGCTTTTGTGCTCCAGGGTCACATATATATCATTTTTTAATTTCAGTTTTAGTGCTTCAACTTATTGTATTTCCGTTAGCTGCCAAGGCAACATATCTAATTTCCGTTTAAGTTAATTACGTTAAGTTTTCATTAGGGATTCCCAGTGTTTTTATACTATTAAAGTATTATTGACATTTTGAATTAGCATTTATTTTTAGTTTTTCATCTAATATTTATATTTTATTTCAACTTTATTTCAGTTAACAAAATGATTTAACATTTGCATATTCACCGTTCTCTGATGTCCGTTAATGATATATATATATATATAGTTTAAAAATATTTAATTTTATGATTATGATTTATTTATGATCTTTTTATCACCTCTCAAACCCCCTGCAGTTCCCTCAAGAACCCTGCTGCAGTGGGTTTGGATTGTAGTGCACTCATCTGCACTAGATCATCTCCACTGGTTTCAAACGCCACTTCTGCCAATCTCTGACACCTGAAATAGCGTGCTATAAAACAGGATTTTAGAGGTTTCATTCCCTCTTTCATGCTCCATAACAAACCTCCAGCTGTTTTCATTCAATTGCATTTGATTCTTTGTATGTTTATTTTGTTGTTGTCATGCATCACTGTGTTTTTCATTTATGACCATGTCATGTCCAGTATGTTCTGTGATCACATTTTTAAACTGCTTTGATAAATAAAAACTTATTTTTGCATCTGCACCGGTTTCATTTATTCATTTCATTACATTTCTCATGATGATTTCATACTGAACCCGATCATCCCATGACAGCAGCTGATGTCCATGTTCATTATTTACACTCATGATCATGGATGATGAAATGTTTGTGTAAGCATTTCCTTTCAGTCATCAGTGAATAGAGGAAGTGGTAAACCTCAACCAATCACATGCCGTCTTGCCCCGGTGAATCTGGTTTTGTGTGTGTTTCTCAACTCGAGGTCTGGAGAAGCCAGATCAGCTCCGTTCTGATTCTCTGGAAAGAAAAACCCCACATACGTCTGAATATATCACAACAGTGATCGCACATGTTTCCAGCCTCCTTCGTTTTAGCAGTATTTTTTTCCATTGGCAATTCAGAAAGTTCAAAAGGCATTCGAAAATGTACCATCTGCCATTAGTTTAAAGGAATAGTTCACCCAAAAATGAAAATCTGCTGAAAATGTGCTCATTCTCAGACCATCCAAGATTAGGATGAGTTTGTTTCTTCATCAGGTTTGTAGAAATGTAGCATTGCATCAGTGTCTCAGCAATGGATGCTCTGCAGTGAATGGGTGCCGTCAGAATGAGAGTCCAAACAGCTGATAAAAACATCACAATAATCCACAAGTAATCCACAGCACTCCAGTCCATCAGTTACCATCTGGAGAAGACAAAAGCTGAAACAAATCCAGCATTAAGATGTTTTTAACTAAAATACGAGTCCATAATCCATAATAACGCTTCCTCCAGTGTAAAAGTGTTCTGGTGTGAATCGGGAGAGAAATCTGCACAGATCAAGCACCGTTTAAACAGTCCAAAACAGCTCTAAACTAATATGTGGTGGATTTCGATGTAAGAGACAACAGGAGATGGACTTTTTCACTGCAGGAAGCGTTATTATGGATTATGGACTCATATTTTAACTTACAAACATGCAGCTTTTGGCTTCACAAGATGTTAACTGATGGACTGGAGTGGTGTGGATTACTTGTGATGCTTACTTTTGATTTATTTATTCTTGTTGATTGAATGGTTGATGTCTAAAATATGTATATGTGGGAAAGCTGAAAAAACATTGTCTTCACGCACTGATCAACCCAAAACAAAGGACTCAAGTTAAATCTCAACTGAAATAATAAGAATTCCTCTTGAGAAGTCACATTTACAGTGAGATTATAGTTCACATACTGTATATTTGTGAGCAAGAGTACCAACATGTTTTAACATTGCTGTGATCAAAGCTGAATCTTCAGTGTCACGTGATCTTCAGAAATCATTCTAATATGCTGATTTGCTGCTCGAGAAACATTTCTGATTATTATCAATGTTGAAAACAGTTGTGCTGCACAATATTTCTTCACTGTCACTTTTCATCAATTTAATGCATCCTTGCTGAATAGAAGTGCTCATTTCTTTCAGAGGAAGTGTAATCAGCGCCTGCTGTGTGTGTGTGTGTGTGTGTGTGTGTGTGTGTGTGTGTGGGTGTGTGTGTGTGTGTGGGTGTGTGTGTGTGTGTGTGTGTGGGGGTCTCTCTCTCTCAGATCTGATGGAGTCGGTCCTCAGGTGTATGCAGGCGTGTCGGCGGCTGCTGGTGGTGTTGAGCTCGGATTGTTTGTGTGAGAAGAGCATCAGTCTGCTGGAGTGTCGTCTGTGTTTGTACCTGCATCACGCGTCGCGCGCGCCCCTCATCACCGTGAGACGGCGCGCGCTCAGCGCCCCCTGCGGCGACATCGCGGAGCTGCGCAACAACTCCACCTGCGTGCGCTGGCACGGCGCGCGCTCCGAGCGGACGGACTCGCGCTTCTGGAAGCTGCTGCGGCTCGCGCTGCCTCTGCGACCGCTCGCTCTCGGGAAAAGACTCATCGATAGCACCTCCTCCCACTCGGACCTGGCGTCCGTGGCCACGCGCTACACGCAAGCGCAGACGGTCTCGCTCAGTCGGCGTAGCAAAGGGGGGCGGGGCGGAACGAGGCACCTGGGCGTACGCGACAGAAGTGGGCGTGGCTGTGAGCAAAAGGGGCGTATCTGTGCAATCTGCGTGAGTTTTCAGGAAAGTCGTCGAGTTTGGGGCGGAGTTATCGCTACTCAGTGGAGCACACACCTGCATCAGCCTGTAGCCAATGGGACGATACCTTACGGCATGCATAACTCCAACACCGCACCTGGAAACGACCCCGGCAGTGACCCCCGCAGCGACCTCTGCCCCTGTGAACCAATCAACAACAACCAGACAAATGAGCTTCAAACCACACACTGTTGACGCACACTGCTGGACAACCAGCCAGCGAATATCATGAATGAAATGTGTAGCCTAAATCACAATAATTATCAGGTAATATGTAAATAACGAACATGAATTCAATAAACTAAGCTAAAAACATCAGGCTGACCTTTGACCTGAGACTAATGAGTTTTATTTTCACTGGCATATTGCATACTGCACAGTAAGTGCAGTACAACCTTTTTTTTTCGGCCACGGCACAGTTTTGATAAATAAAAAATCCCACGGCACACCACTAAGCACTGAAATATGGCAACAAAAAAAAAAGATACAAAATTTTTTGTTTTTTTAATTAAAGACTGCGTCGTCAGAGTTGGTATTGTGGCTTTATCAAACACTTGCACTTAACATTTTATGAAAATCTAGCTCAAATGGAGTTTGGGTTTGGTTTTTGACCAGCGAATGACGGCATTATGTGTTTTGTATGTGTTCGTCATGGCTGTCGCCGGCCAAACAAGTTGGTGTTTTTTCAATGTAGGCTTCAGACACGGGTCACGACGAGGCGTTCCCCATAGCGACCCCTAGAGGACGCAGTGTCTCGTTCCCCTCAGGGAACCATGGTTACACAAGTAACCTGAGACGTTTGAGTGCATCGCATTACGTTTTCATCAACTTACAGGTTATAAAGTTATATTATATGCATTGCAGTATTTCACGCATTGAGCTCTGGTTGCCTGTATTGCATCTATTATATTTCTACAGACATTTAGCATACTTCATACATACTGTATACTACGTATACTATCAAAAAGGAATGGTTTTGAACATAAATGTGCCAAATGCTTCAGTTTATTTACATCTAATGAATTATTATTACTATCTAGACTCAGAATAACATTTTAAGACATGGCAAATAAAAAAAAAACACAAAATAAAAATAAAGCCTCCACTATTTAAAATTAAAAAAATAGTGCTACCTACCTATGTGAAACAATATTTATATACGCTGAAATATTGTCATATGACATAAATACATTGCATGTTTAATTTGACAAGTTGCAT